GAAGGCTGGTTACAAGGCAACAACAGCTGGAAAATTTACCGAGGCTCTTCGGCTCTTTCTCAACATTCTTCATATTATTCCATTGATTGTCGTGGAATCGAGGAAGGAAGTCGATGAAGTCAAGGAGTTAATTATTATGGCTAAGGAGTATGTACTTGGTTTGCAGATGGAGCTTAAGCGAAGGCAAATGAACGAAAACCCGGAGCGCCAACAAGAGCTTGCTGCCTACTTCACCCACTGCAACCTTCAATTGCCTCACCTCAGACTCGTTCTGCTAAATACAATGACTGTCTGCTACAAGGCAAGGAAGCTGGAATATTACAGTTGAGCACGAACGGAATGACCTTAGTAATAAAGAAATTGTTGATATTTCTGGAGTCCCGAGTAAAAGTACAAGAAATATTAAGGGTGTGAGCGTGTAATATCGAATAGTTGAGAGTTTATCTTTGAACAAATATTACCTTATATTTACCTTAAATTATTAAAAAAAATTACATTAAATTTTACTCTCTCTACAATTATTTAGTTGAAGATTTCTCTGTATTTTTTTTATTTTTAAATTTTCTTTTTACAACGAGCAAATGCTTTTGAAAGAAAAAGAAATAGTCGGCTTGCCTTTTGCACATGCATCGGATCGCAAGTGGACCAAAATCGAAAAGAAAAAGCACCGACACTCCTTTTCTTTTTTGGGTAAAGTAAACATTTGGTCCCCAATTGTAGGATACAATGATCAAAGGATGTTGCAAGAGCCCGAATCTGATCAATAATGCAACCACCATAGGAATAGTCAACATGTGATGAAGCAACTCTGGATATTAGAGAATGTGAGTCTCATTCGACAACTAAACTTCGACACCCTAGACTCAAAGCCAGATTTAGTCCTTCCAAACACGCTAAAGATTCCACAGGGAAAGCATCCATTGCATGAGGAATCCCACTCGAACAGCCTGCTAAGAATTGACCAGTGGAATCTCGTAAAACACAACAGATACCTCCCGTTCTCAGATCTTTGTCATACGAGCCATCAACATTCACCTTGATAAAACCAGCCGGGGGAATAGTCCAAAGCCGAACAATCGGGTAAGAACCACATCCGGGCGAACCGACGCCAAAGAAAGATCCTCTAGATAGGTAGTCACAAACCCATGGATCTCCACATCCGAGGAAATATGGCCCTGGTAAAGCTGACGGTTCCGAGAACCACCAGAGAGACCAAAGCAACAGAAGTAGCTTGTGGGTTTTAGGTATGGAGAGATGAGACAACACAAAAAGCATACATTCCCAGAAGTCCCTTTCGTGACCCTAGGTGAACTGCTCCCAACCAAACAACCCCCACGTCGAGTGCAACTGGGAGCAACCAATGAGAGCACGCAAAACAGACTCTTGGCCAGTTCTGCACCGAAAACAACGCGGGTCAGGAACAACATGCTTCAAGTATAGATTGGCATAACAAAGAAGAAGGTTACGGATCGCCCTCTAAATAAAAATCCGAACCTTCTCTGGGACGGTTGTGACCGAAGCATTCTATAGAAATGAATGTCCCTGGCATCTGTAGTCTCTCGTTACGCATCGAGACGTAGAAGAAAATTATAAGCACTTCTGACAGTGAAATGTCCATGAGGCTCCAACCTCCAAACCATACGATTAGACCGGCGATCCACAGGTAAGGGGAGCGATTATATGGCACTAGCCACTGGCGCCGGAAAGAGAGCCTGAACCACATCAACCCCCCATGTTCCCAAAGAAGGATATATCAGATCAGAGACCGTGGACAATCTGCTAGGATCCATACATGATTGAAGAAGTTCAGCTGGTGAAAACTGTGGGACCCAATGCTCAAAGAAGATCGGAATAGTAGTGTCATCTTCCACCTGAGCTCGTAGGCATTGCTTAATCACCCCTTGCACCGATCAAATGCTCCGCCAAGTGAAAGACGGTTGCTCACCTAAGTCAGCAGTGAGGAAAGACCCATCCGGATAATACTTGGCTTTGAGCACTTGAGCCACCAAAGTTTTGGAGCCATTAAATAATCTCCAGCCTTGTTTACACAGAAAAGCTTGATTGAAAACTTCCAAATCCCGGATACCTAAACCTCCAATTGATTTCGGAAGTCGCATATTTGACATACCAAGCCAGTGGACTGCCTGCACGGATGCATCAGAACGCCACCAAAACCTTGCGATGGCAGAATTCAGCTCACGACAAAGCGAGACGGGGAGAGCATACAAACTCATTTGGTACGTTGGAAGATACTGTAGCACAGCTTTAATAAGCACCAACTTCCCACCTCTTGACAGAGTACGCACCGAAGGTTGGCTGATCCGAGACATCATCGATTCCTTTAATAACCTGAAAGTTGTCACGTTCAAAGTCAATCGCTTTGAACCCCAAATTGACCCACCAAAAAGTACGACAGTCAGAATGAGTGTTAGAGCTGAAAACAAAATTTGACTTAGTTTTCAACGTTTGCCTCTTCTTTTTTACATTTAATATAATATTTTTTACGACTTAGGCAAGGGTAAAATGAATTAATTTGATCTCTTTATTTTAAAATATTTTAATTAAATTTATAAATTAAATTATTTTTTCAGCTATAGAAAGTATTATATTAACTTAAATATGACCTAGTTTTATCTTTTTATAATATAATGCATATTTTTAAATATATCAAATCAAGAATAAACTAAGTGGTTTTCATAGTAAAAATTGTTATTCTTTGAAGACCCAATTTACACAGAGAATGTTCTCTGTTAGGGGTGTGAGCGTTCAATATCAAGAGATTAAGAATTATCTTTAAACAGATGTTTCTTTATACTTACCCCAGATTAATAAAAAAAAATATCAAATAAAAATTAATATATTTTTAAAGTTTATCATTAAAATGACAAAAAAATTGAATGAAAATATTTTAATTCTAGACATTAGACCTCATGTATGATATTCCAATCAGCAAATTATAAAAGAAATAAAAAAAATTAAAAAGATTACTTGATCTTATCTGAATTTATTGATAAGTTTTAAAATATTTTTTTAATCTAATTTAAATTAACTTATCAATAAATCTAATAAAAATAATTATAAAGGTAACTTATGTGTTTAGTACCTAACCTATTTTATTTTTTTTTATTTTAGTCATTTTTTCAAAACTATACGTAAAGTTTAATTTTTATTTCATTTTAGTATCCTATCGTTAAAAATTTAACATGTCTAGTACCTCAACTATTAATTTTTTTTCAGTTTTAGTTCTTAAACTGTTAATATTTTTTAAAACTTAACGTTAAATTTAAAATATATTAAAATGAAATAAAAATTAAACTTTAGATATGATTTAGAAAAATAAAAAAGTTAAGGTGATAAAACGGATCAAAAGTGATAGTTTAGATACTAATGACGAAGTTTACCCATAGTTATGAAAATACCTTGGTGGGGAGGAATGTTAAGAAGTTAAGTAAGTTAGGATTCACACGTGGCTTATAATTATTGGTTAGAAAGACGTGGACCAATATGCAAACGTTAATTCGTGATCCACAAGCATTATTTATAGAGGAACTTCCGTTCAAGCTACTCGATTACCATTTCAAATCAAAAAAAAAATCTCTGCAATCCCCCAAAAAAAAGAAGAAAAAGAGGTGAAAATGGAGAACCAAAACAAAGCTTATGTTGTTGTTTTACCTGCCATGAATGGAGATCCAGAAGAATTCGTTTTCATAGAAGAAGAAGAAGAAGATGACGATCTGTCCCATTGGGAATTCATTCACTCCTCCGATTCCGAAACCGATGATGTCGAATCACGTGCTCTGCCTTTCCCCCCTTTTCTCTTCTCCTCTCCGACGGCCGTCGACATGGTTCCAGACGTTGATTATCGCGGCTTCGATCATGAGCCGTACGATGATATGTACGGTGAGCCGTACACGCGCGATCAAGAAGATGACGATGATGATGATCTGGATGATGAGTTGATCCCGAGGGACTTGGCTGGGAAATTCGGGAGGCAAAGGATGAGGAAATTGGGGAAAAGGGCGTTTGCCAAGATGAACAATTCGAAGAGGTCGCCGCTCTTGTATGTGAAGCCTGGGTGCGTCCGTGGCAAGCACGGGCTCGGATTGAAGCACAGTTTCTAGGTGAACCGAATTTGCGTTTACTTGTTGGAATATTCGATTTGATTCTTAAGTTGTAATTATTAGGTTTGGATTGACGCACAATTATTAGGGTTTGATTTGATTGGATTTTACTGATTTTCTTTGTTAATATTTCCTAATTGAAGATCAATAATTAACATCCATAGTGAATATAAATGTGTATATGAGTCGGTTTTAACTACCGAGCTAGATCTGTTGGAGCGTAAAATCTTTTCTACGCCGGAAACCTCATAATGCGGCGGCTGTGGTAGCTGCTGTTGTGGCCTGTGACTGGTCGGCAGCTGAACCATTGTCATATACCAGTATTGTAAACGAACTGAACACATAACGATAAAATGTTTATGTTTGAGCTGTCATTTTTATTTTATTTTAATACTTAAATTTTCAATTTTTTTAAAATTATACCTTACTTTTTATTTCATTTTATATCTAAAATTAAATTTTTATTTCATTTTAATACCTCACCATTAACTACTCACCATTAACTACTTTTTATTTCATTTTATATCTAAAATTAAATTTTTATTTCATTTTAATACCTCACCATTAACTACTCACCATTAACTACTTTCTGCTTCATCTCACTATCTAAATTTTTAACAATATAATACTAAAATGAAACAAAAAATAATCATTCGGTGTGATTTTGAAAAAAATGAAAATTTAGATATTAAAATAAAATAAAAATAATAATTTATGTACTAAATATGTACTTCACCCTTATAAAAAAAAGCATAATTACAGCCGCGAAAAGGGAACTCCCCGCCATTTATAACAACAAAACAGATCTGTGCGTCCACAAAATGGAATACATGGGGGTTATATCTGATCTTAAGATGCCCTAAGAATTTGGTAAGGTTATGGATGTTTAATTTGCATCACCTAGAATTCATCATTGACGTACCAAAATATCAACACTACAAACTAGCCTTACAAAAACTACAAAAGCATAGATGGAAAAAAAAATCCACGTCAGACATAGCCTCGACAATTTCGACTAGAACAGGATCGAAGGGAGAACCATAACCATCTGCTCCTTCCTCCTATGATCAGGAGATGTCAGTCGATAGGCAGTGGTATCCAGATTACTCAGAGATGAATCAGTATGAATGCGCTGTGAGTTTAGTTTGAGTGAATTCTCCTTAAAAGCACCCAGAACGATTAGCAACACTAACGCTAATGCAAACTGCAACTATAAAGGGTAGTACTCACCTAATAGATCTCATGATAAATGACCATCGTATAAGAATGGATAGAAAATTCTATTCACAAGTAGAGACTACTTGATACCGATGGAGGAAAGGTTGTCCTTGTTAGAAGGCCTAATTGAACTCCCTGCAACCGTTGTGGATACGTATGGGTTGGAAGGGGTAGGAGTCACAGGACCCATGGGTCTTGACATTGGCGGTCTTGGGGCTTTCAAGCTCATAGGGGGCCTAGAAACTGAATTTGCAAAGTTTGCTGCAACTCTATTTGTAGCATTTGGTGGTGGCATTGCTCTAGAGGAGGAAGCTGGCAAGCCCAGTCGAGCAGCAATTATCTGTGATCGCTCGTGGTAAAGCCTCTGCCTTGACCTGTCCAATTGCTCCTTAACCCTCATTACGACTCCTTCCATCTCATTGAAGAATGCTAATTTGGCTTCCAACTTATGTAACTGCATTGAATTAAAGCCTCTGAAAACTTGGATTTTGCTCCAGTTGGATAGTTATGGGAAAAGGAGATTACATGTATTTTGCTACTAACCTGTTTTTCTATTAATGATGCTGTGAGTTGTCGGATTTGGTCCTCTTCCTGGTCTGCTAGAAGTTTTGCCTTCACTGCTGCCGCAGAGAGTGCCGTAACTGCAGCACGCTTTACTCTATCAATGCTACTATTATCTTCTCTGCCTGTAGAGTCATGATTCTTGTTTTTACCTTCTTTACTCTTGTCTGCAAAAATCAATAAGATAAAATGATACAATCCAGAATTGATGCATTTTACCAGCAGGTGGTTCTTGTAATATATTCTTCTGATTAAAACTATAAAAACACAGCCACATATCCAGAATTGATGCATTTTCCTAGCTGCTCCCCATAAAACCAATAGATATAGCATGCGCTTAACCTTATAGAACCAAGCGGTTCTTCTAGCATTCTGTATATATTCTAAATCAGACTTGTTATCTATCTCTACATATTCTCATAAGATATTGCTAAGAATTTGGCCGTAGAGTTGGTTCCTGTTAATGTGACTTCCACATTCTAAACAAGATATTCATAGAAGAAAAAGAGAGAAACCTGTGGTAGCTCCTTTTTCGTTTACAGAATTTGATGCGACTGGTTGCCGAGACTCGGTCTTTTCTGCTGGTTGTGAAACAGATGCCATTTCAACATCATTTGATGCCTCTGCAGGCTTAGTAGATTCTCCATCAGCACTCGGTTGAACAGGTTTTTGCTCGTTCTTTGCTCCGGATGGATAAGAGGAAGCTGTCTCTAAATTTTCTGATGCATTTTCCGGTTCAGATGGCTCTCCTCCAGGCTTTAAACCAGCTGCATCACAGAGCTCATTCTTTTCCACTGGAACAGAATCAGACATATCTACTCCCTTCACAGTTTTTGGAGGCGCTGAAGGTTCTTTTTCTGTTTCCTTCCCGCCCCTCTTCTCCAGTGAATTAGGTAGAAACTGGGATGTTGAGTTATTTGATACCGTGGTTACACTTGGTTGATGATCCTTTGATTGATTAATAATGGTGGATTCATTCAAATTAGCCTTGTTATCTTCTTCATTAGTTGCAATATTGCTGGACTCTTTTTTATCCATGGTTAAGTCATTGGCTGAAGGGGATGTCACCTTCTCTTCAGGAAGAGAAACTTCGGTGTTTTCGTCACCATGTTTGCTCAATGAACTTTTCTGATCCCCCTCAAGGCTTTTGTCTTCCGAGTTTTTCACATTTTGAGCATCACCATTACCCGTATCATTGACAACACTGTGCGTCTCAAATTAACATCAGATAATGTTCACAAATTGCTAAGTAGATATAAGCTTGACATAGGTTAACATACCTCTCAGAACATGTTGGTTCCTTCTTGTCATCTGGTGGATCTTCCAAAATGAAGCAGTTCCTTGAAGCCAGTTGAAGGTTAGGACAACTACCAGATAACAATTTCAGTGAACTCTGGGCTGAAACAGCAGCAATGTTGGGTCCGACCAGACGAGCAAAGAACCCTGCCTGCAGTTGGAGCAACACTAATTTCATAACATATTACCACAACAAATGGACACAGGTAACAGCATTGCAATCATTTAAAAGGAAGAGGAGAAAATGATCATTAAAAAATTATTGTTGATGAGCAGAAAAGCAAAATGCAATAGAACATTACTTTGAGGTTTGATCATTCATTTAATTACCAAGCAAGCCACCATGTCTTTTACATTGGAGGTCGGAAAAAGGACTCCAAGTTTTTCTAAAAGCAGAAACAAAAGATTCTTGATTATTTTTTAGGGTAAGAAGACTATTTCAGAAGCTAGGTACAAAGTGGATAAATTTAGATTGTTAAATGAAATCAGTTTTCCCTTCATATACATCAATTGATAAAACCTAAATTAAATACTTACACAGTCAACTTACCAATGCCATTACAGGATTTCCTACATCAGCAAATGAGAGTGTCCCTTCAGACGTTAAATTATAACCAATAGCTTCAAATGCCTCCCTTAGTGCCACAAGTGCACAATTTTCAGTTGTGTCTTTCCCATCTTTTGCTACATTCGTTTCTTCTGGCTTTGATGTTTCTTGACCACCATTAACATCAGTTACAGTTTCAGGTTTAGACATTTCCTCGCTAGCTCTCACTTCTTTTCCATCTTCAGGTTTTGAAGTTTCCGTTGGTGTAGTCTGGGCCTGATCCTCTTGCAGAGCAGTCTTACTCTCTGTTGTTTCCAAGACATCTTTAGGGACAGAGGTTTCATCACTACTGGCAGCTGGTCCAGCAGTTTCTTTTGAATTGGTGTCTATGTCATCATCTTTATTGAAGAATACATCCTCAATTGGCATTTGAACAAAGTGCAGTATGCATTGTGCTTTTGTTTTCGTAGCAACATGCTCTGCAATCTCATTCCAGTTTTCTTTATAAAGTTCAAGTGCCTCAAGAAGGAGGAGGGTTTCCTGATCTGTCCACTTGCCACCACTAAGACCAGCGCCAGCAGGTTCCATGAGAATAAAATCCGAAGAAGACATGTCGGAGCCAAACTTCCCGTCGTTAAAGCAATCAGTACATAGGTCAAAATCGGCCTGCCAAATACAAACACAATTACATCATAAAGAAATGGAACAAGAAGTCAATAAATAAATAAACCAAATTACTAAATTGGTTACTCTTTCCATTTTGATCATTCACATTATAAAAACTTAAAAGACCAATGGCTTATCGTTGCAAGTAAACAGATGCACCGGCGGTGCAAACAATTTATGCACATTTCTTATTTGTTGGACACGAACCAGTACCTAAAAAGGTTTGTGGAAATCCAATTTTATTAACCAGTTTGCTTGAACTGAAGATGTCATATAAATTGATTTTGTAGAAGTAGAATTCCCTCTGACTCTCTCAGAAATATAGGGCTTGTGAAAAATGTACATGCAAATGCCGGCAAGATTGAAACATTGACTACCACCATAACAACACTCGGAAAGAATTGGTGCAGGTATTTTTCTCTTTGTACTGAATTAAACAATTTGAGGCTTAAACAATTATTTATTAGTCAGTATTCAGTAACTAACCTGCTTCTGGCAATGGTAACGCTTTCGAGAGCAATCAGCTGAACAAGAGTTGCAATGGTACTCAACTGATGGCTCCTCAGGTGTCATCAAGTCCTCAGTAAGTGCAGATTCTGGAAGAAAACCAGATGGCACAGATGGAGTTGAAACGTTAGTTCTGGTAACAACTTGTGGGCGTGATTCAATTTCCTCAAAGTGAAACAATTTTTCAAGCAAAGAATCCTTTTTGGCCATTCCATCCCCATCGTCATTGCACACAGCTGAACAAATTGGAGGAAACGGATGAAAGTTGATCAAACCCCAGTAGTCCAGGAACTCCAATACTTCCTGCCTTGCATCCAAGTCACCAACTTCAAGATCTTCCAGATCTTTCAACTCAATCTCCCTACTTGGGTTTGCATGGAATTTCTTCATAATCCAATTACGAATCTCCATGTACAAATTAGGGGTATGATTTGGGAATTTCCCATTAAAGAAAGAAGGCAAGATACTCTCCTCCAGATGGTGAATTTTGGTCCATGAAAACCATCCTGTCAGTACAAAGAGAGAAAGAATAGAAAAACTAACGACAGAATGAAATACCGTGGTATCTAATAGTTCATTTTCTCCTCTTCCACTCTTTATAGCCTCAAAATAAATGGCTTCCAATGAAGCCGATTTATTCAGAACCCTAGTTTGCACTCTGCTAATGAGAACTAAGATCGACATTCTCTTTGCAATTTGTGTATCCATGCAATATGCATGCATTTGCTTTGTCATATTCGTGTTTAAGCGGATTCTGAGAAATCATGCAATGTCTAATTCTCTAGCATGGCTGATAAGAAGCAAGCAGAACAAACTAGGGACTTTACCTTATCATTCTTATAGCATAAAGAAACAAAACTCCCAAATTAACTATTCAAGAAAACAATTCAATTCTCATTTCACGTTTTTCCAAAAGTAAGACAAAAACATCTATTCAAACTGAATTGAAATCCTAAATCGTCAGAAAACAAAAAAAAATCCACATAATTTGTCCAATTCGCTAGCTCCCACTAAAGAAGTTACCTCACAAAAGTTGAAAGAGATAAAAGCTCACCTTTCCTTCCCATTTCTGCTCATTTTCCCATCAACCAAACAAAGAAAAAAAGGGGGAAATAGAAACACTCACCGCAATGATTAGGAACAACATGCGCATTACTGTCACGAGATCTAATAGCCTCAAAATCAGCCTCAGTTTTAGCTTCCAGAGCTTCCCACTCTTCACTTAGCTTATTCAATTCCTCCAAATCTTCCGCCTTCACACTTTGTTTCACCGTGCTCGCCTCCAGCTTCGCGCCATCCGATCCCGAGCTCGAACCCAAGGCAAAGTTTCCGCCAGGCGCCCCTTGGCGAGCCCTGGTTAAAGGACCGTAATGGTTGACCGGAGGGTGGGATATCAAGTTTGACTTCTCTCGAGTAACCCGTTTCGACGGCGTCGACGAAGAGCTCGACCCGGAAAGCCAATTGCCTTTTCTCTTCAAAGCTCCACCTCGACGGCGCGTTGACGTCGAATCCGGTTCCGCTGAGCTCTCCCCCGCCGGCGAGTTAGCCGCGTCCCGGCGTTTCTCCTCCATCACGGGTTCCGGGTTTGGTTTTAATGGGGAAAAAAGGGGTTTTCAGTCGGATCAGTGTGAAATTTGGTTGATTTGAGCCGAAAACGAAGTAGTGTGTGAATTATTGTAGTTATAAATTGGGCCGCATTTTTTAACGGCTCAGCTGTTGAACAGCTACTACCGGCCCATAATGGCATTATTGTTATTTTCCTATGTTGTGCATCCACAAATTTTGGACCATTTTAGTATTAAACTTTTAATTTTTTTAAATCATACTTGATATTTAGTTTTTATTTCATTTTAGTACCTTGTTAAAAACTTTAAGTTAAGTTTTGAAAAAATTGAAAGTTTAGGTATTAAAAGGGATCAAAATTGATAGTTTAGGCACAACACATTAAGTTTTTAACATCAAGGTACTAAACTAAAATAAAAACTAAATGTTAGATATAATTTTTCGGAAAAAAATGAAAGTTTAAATACTAAAACGGACCAAAATTAGTAATTTAAGTACTAAATGTATAATTAAGACATTTTCCTATAATCATTACAGAAAAAACTATTTGAGATCAGATTGGCAAGGAAAATGTTAAAAATTTATCCCAAAAACTCAAACAAAATATCGATATGAACATATCTGATTTTATCAAAAAAAACGAACCTCAACATGAAACTCAAACAAAATATCGATATGAACATATATGATTTTATCAAAATACAAATCTCAACATGAAATGAAAATATTAAAAGACTATTGACAATCGTAAATTAGAGTCAAGCGTCGTGAGGCAACTATTTGCGAACACAAGGTGTATCAAATCAAATTCGAGGTTCCAAATAATAGAAGAATAATAAGGTAATAAGCAAGCGTCATCTTAATCGATCGATATAATATTAAACTCAACCTTAAAAAAATAAATGGAAAATAATCAAACGATTGACGTGTAAAAAAACAGAAAATATGATAATGGAGAGCAAAGCGAGCGACGTAAAACTAATGTGGTCGCCTGAAAATGGGGAACAAGCGAGAGACCTAAGTTTTAGAGAGAATTTGATCTAAAATAACATACTTATAATTAGGGATGTGTATGGGTCGGGTTTTTGGTCCACCTGACCCGACTCGAGAACAAGAAATTCTCCATTTGAGATCCGATCTAACTCGACCCCGACCCGATATATAACTTAAAAACCCAAACTGACTCGAAATAATAATAAAATATTATTTTTTATTTAATAAAAACAGTGACTTAATTGAAATAATAATATATAGAGGCTATTATTGTAATTATTTCTAAATATATAAGGTAAAATTATATATTTTTCGGGTCGGGTCGAATATTTTTCATCCTAAACTCGAACCCGACCCGAACTTAATTTTTTTTAAAAAAAATCTGACTCGATCGGGTCAGATTGAAACCCGTCGGATTTGAATCTCATGCCCATCCCTACTTATAATTAATATGTCAACACTATATTTCACTAATAATCCTCACGCCAAATTATTTTAGGATACAGGGCTGGTGAGGATTTATTTAAGGAGTTATAAAATTTGTTACAGTAAATTAGGAATTCGTCCGTAGACATGATATATTTTATGGACGAGTTTTAATAAATAAATTATATTTTATAAAATTCGTTCATGAAATTTATAATACCCACATGAAGAGTTATAATAAAAAATATATATTTTTATAAAGTTCGTTATGTCCACTTGATAAGTTCTTAATCCACTGTAGCAAATGTCATAATTTCCAAAATAATTTCTATAAATTTTTCCCGCCTACAATATCTTTTTAATTTTGTCGGGAATCCATATATTTATATTGACATGTTATAATCACATTAAAATATTAGGTTAATTATCGGAATGATTATTTTAGTTTTGTTGTTCACTTTTAATCATTGATTTTGTGAAAGTTAAATTTTGATCATTTATATGATCAGTTGATTAAATTTTAGTCTTATGTTATTGATTATTATATTTTGATCATTGAGTCGTTAACTTACGTTAATACGACGGCGTGACACATTAATAAAAACAATTAAATTTTAATTTGACCTTTAAACTTTAGATAAAATATCATTTTGATCCTAAATTTTAGATAAAATAACAATTTAATTCCTACTTGATCAAAGTCTCCTGTCATTGACCGTCACTCACTACCGTCACCCTCAGTTGCTGTCAACCACTGGTGGATCCTAAAATTTCTAAATCACTATCTTTTGATCTCTTGAATACATATCTAGTGTCTGTTTCACTAAAAATATATAACACCCCCAACCTGTACCTGACCCGGATACGAGTATGAGATGTTACATTGACTTCTCAAAACATTTACTTTTACAAAATATCCAAGATTCAATTTGATATTTCTAATAAAAAAATTTACTTTCTATGACACAAAACATATGGTTTTACAAAATTGATCAGAGCGTATTTAATACAAATCTTTTAACTACATGCCAACTAGATTCTATATAACAAAATACATGTTATTCATTTATGTTCTGATCTGACCTTCAGTAAGGAGAAACTAACATGTCTTGCTCCTCATAGCTTCTCTTCATGCTTTCTTGAACCTACGTGTGAAACACTCACACGCTAAGTCATAGACTTAGTGAGACATATAAATCCATATGTAAATTATTAAATGTATGTACATATAATGTAATACAACGTCATACTTGTATAAGTACTTTTTCATGTAACAATTACATACACACATGCATGTCATCATTTATATTTCCTCATACTCTTATATGACTGTCCTTTCTATCTATTATCTATTGTTCATATGATCTCTTATTTTCATATTTTATATCTTATAATATGTTCTTACATCATCATATGAGTCATTGATATTCATTCATATATATATATATATATATATATTAACATATATTCATGTACATCACATAACAAATGTCATAACCCATAACACACATTCTTTCTTGTAACACATACACACATTCACATATATCCTCATATAAAACATGTAACACATTTCTCATTACAACTCACATTTTATTGTTATCATTTTTGGTTAGCCCATGCACACTACTGAGAACTTAAGGTATGTGAGTACATAGAGGCTGTACACAATGCTGCCACCACAGCTCGTATAAATCTCACTAGGGGCGCGTAGAATTTGTCCCGTAGGACCACTGTGTCCCGAAAGACCACTGTGTCCCGAAGGACCACTGTGTTCCGAAGGACCACTATGTCCCGAAGGACCACGTAGACCCTAGACTCTTAGCATGCCAACTATACCTATAGCTCTCTTATTATATAACATGGGAATTATTATTCATCTTTTTACATATTCACGTAGGCACATAGTTCACTTTCACATAACATATTTTCATGTAATTCACATTCACTTATCACATAACTTCTCAATTTTACTTGTATTCTTTTTCACATAGCTCATAGTTATGATTATTATCTCATAACACATGTTCACATATACATATTCTTGCTTTCACATGGTCATGTATCTCATGTTAATTAATCATTTATATTTATATATCACCTTCATATCACATGATCTTATTTTATATAAACTTATATTCATATCTATTATCATCACAGAATCCTACATCTTATTATCACATAAATCGGCTATCAAATTTATCACACAATATACATTCATATAAATCATATATATACAGATGCAATTAACTTCTAAATGCATATATGTATATTCATCTACTCATAAACATCCTATGCAATATGCTTGTATCTTTGTACTCATGTAATCTAATATCGGAATTAGACTCATCGCAAGTTTAAATTCCCTTGAAGTGCATCGATGCATTCTACAGTGCATCGATGCATTCTTTAACATGTGCATCGATGCACTACCTATGCATCGATACACAAATTACCTTCGATGTTTTCATTTTAAGGGGATGCATCAATGCACTCCTTATGCATCGATGCACCAACTGCATTCGATGTTTCTTCTTTAAAGAGTGCATTGATGCACATTGAATGTGCATCGATACACCTTGCCCAAAATTTGCATTTTAAGCCCGAAAATCATTAATTCTTCATTCAATTCTTCTATTTTAAGCCCCTAATATGTCATTAAATTCAACTACCATTACTTAAACCAACTTATATCCATGTAAACCATCTTTATCTTCCATATCTCATCATGATTCTTAAGATTTAAGAATCTTACTAAACTTTCAACTTTGTTATTAATCCTTTCTAACTTCATATATCTCTTATTCTTAGTGATGACAAGTCAAATTCCTTCTCAAATTTCACTTATTAACTTTTTTCCAGAAATTCATCTAAAAACTCATTTTCTTTAATCTCTTCTATATCTTTCATCTTGTTGTTTTAGAACAAATTAAGCCTTCCTTAAGCTTAATTATCATCTAATGATCATAACCCAACCTTAAAATCAATAATTAATCAACAAACAAAGAAACTCACCTTTGAGTCAAGCCTTCACGTATGAAGAAGAAAGAAGAGAAGAGAACTCTGGAACCTTTTCTCTCTTCCCATGATTTCCTTATCTTATAAGGAAAATAAAAATCTTCCTTGTCAAATGACCCTTTTGCCCTTCAATTCATCTTATAATTACTAACAACTTTTATGATTTATTTTGTAACCCCCTCAGACCGATACGGATAGCCCGATCTGATCTGGAGCGTCACATTAGGGTCACCGGAGCGACCCACCGTAGAAATAGCGAAAACTTTATAATTTTTCTTAAAACATGTAAAATCATAAAATGATTTATTGTTTTTCAGAAATAAAACGGGTTTATCAGACTCTGATATAAAAACAAAATACAATCTACGTGCCCTCTAATCACATGTACAATACTCTGCAAACAACGCCGGAAGAGCTCCCTTACTGAATTCGATAGATGCAATGGTACAATTCTTTTAACCTGCAATGGTGAGTAATAGAGTGAGCTTCGGAAAGCTCAGTAATACAGAACTACCAGATGCTGCTGCAAGACATGCCAATAAATGGAAAGCCATATCATTTCTTATTTAATCAAACGTATATCGGTTTTCGGAATAATATGGAGTTCCACTGGTAGTTCAATGAATAGAAGTCATGAATCTCA